GGATATCGTCCTCTTTTGGAAGACCAAACAAAGTAGTTTCGCTTTCACAATGAAAAGCCCAGCGGAAGCACCGGCTTAGCGTGAGCTGAGGCCGGGATAGAGTGAGCAGAGGCGGCGGGGTTGAGAACGGCGCAGCCGGCGGATCCGACAAAGGAGCGGCAAGCAAATGTGACGACCCCGGGCTTCGTCCACGGTGAAAGCCAATCCTGCGATCCACAGCACTGTTGATGTATTCCTTCAGCGACCAGCACGGATCAGCTCTAGGCATGACGAAGCGGATATCGTCCTCTTTTGGAAGACCAAACAAAGTAGTTTCGCTTTCACAACAAAACACACAGCGTCTTCACGACATGGCGGCAGCGGCAACAAAACTACAGCGAGAATAAAAGTTACGCCTTTTTTCTTTGCGTGCACATTTGGGCGCATTATGCAAATATTTCCACATAGTGAGGTAGATATGTTGGGGCGTGTTAGAACGAGGCGTTTTAGGTAGGCGTGGCAGAGTCTTAACTTTTATAAAGAATATCTCTTTGGATTTGAGACTTTAGTCTTTGCAACTTTACAGATCTTCTTTATGCACCAAGAGCTTGTAACACTCCAAAGAGAAAGGAAAAATTGAAATCGCATCATACGACCCCTTTAAAACGTGTTGAAAAAATGTGAAGTTAGAAAAAATAACCATGATTTAATTTTGGGAAGAACCATCCCTTTATGCGAAAATGGTCACAGCACCTAAAACACTGTCTCTTAATCATTTATATTCATTTTATGATTTCAATTTGAAAACATTTATATAAATTTCAATATTGAACAAAATGAAAAAAGGTTAATGGCCATATTATGCATCAACTACACATAAGGCTTCACTGAAACAACATAATTACATAATTATTATAGCGTTAGGGTGACTCGTTACAATGCAATTACATAAATAAGCACTGAATAATATAAATGAACAGCATGTACTTACTACAGTGTTGGGGTTTGGTTTAGTTGCTTGAAATCATGCATAATTAACTGATATTCCTATAGAAAGTACAACGTGTGCAACAAGGGCACTGTAAAATAAAGTGTTACCGAAATCAGGTTTTATTGAGTCTCCTAATGCAAAAATAGGCCCATCTTTCCAACGTCTTCAGCTAGATAAACAGATATAGTTAGCATCTTTCAGACATAAACAAATGATATACAATCGATCGGTCTGCACTCGGATTTAAAGGCACTATAAATCATCTTCGCCCGCTGAGATGCTTGAAATACTTCCGCATCAGAGAAAAGCAACAGACCTGTTTCAGATGCTTCCTCCGATTCCTCAGAATGGCTTCTTTCTTTTCAAAATCCAGTCAACAGCACTCCCGTATGTGTAATATCATACCCGGACATTGCTGGTGATTGAAGACATCCGATCTTTGCGTTTAGCTCTTGGATGAAACAGCCGAGAGCTCGAGATCAGCAGCGGCGCACAGCGAATCCACGTCACCTTAACAAATAAAAACACCCTTATTGGGATCTTCCGGGGTGGGCGGGGCTACAGCGCAACACCTGCACCGCTCCGACAAGTCTCTGCATCATTAATCCACCGCTTTAAGTGTGGTTTCAATCAAATAAACCGTTTATCATGAGTTTTAAGAAGAAAAATTCCTTCGCTCTCGTTGATGTCTTACCAGTCCTGACTAATCGATCGAGTTGCACCGCACGTTCTGTTGTTCTTCCTTGTGAAGTCTGAACTAGACAATTTTGAGAAATCGATTCCATCGTCTGCCACAGGAATTCGATTATTTATGCCTGTACTAGAATCCGCGCGAAACTGACGACACTTTGTGGCGCGGTTGTGTTTGTGTGTGTGGTTGAAAGCGAGACGCGAAACCATTTTATTGGTAAGTTTCCTTTTATTTCTGCATTTTATAGTTTGTAAACCTTTGGTACGTCACACGCGTGAGGGCTTTTAAGCTTTATTTTGGAAGCCTGTTTTTCTTCGTTCTTTACTACTATTCCCATTGATGTGTGAGTTGCTCCGTGTTTGTCTTTACTAATTTACTATTAACCGTGTTGGCCAAAACTTACTTATTGCATCTAATAATTAATTTCTATCCTTTCAGATTTCATCACTATGGGTATTCATGGGCTTGCAAAGCTCATTGCAGATCACGCGCCTTCGTCTATCAAGGAACAGGACATCAAAAACTACTTTGGTAAGGCCTTCTATCATTTAATTAATATTTCTTGGATGATTGTTACAGTGAAACTCAAATATAGCATATGTGAGTGCTTGCATCTGAAATAGTTTTTTTTCTTGCATGCAGGAAGGAAAATTGCTATTGATGCGTCCATGTGCATCTACCAGTTTTTGATCGCGGTCAGACAGGACGGTAATGTGTTGCAGAATGAAGATGGAGAGACCACTAGGTATGTAGAGTTGTCTGTTATCATTTGTCCAAGTCTGCAAAGAAACATGATAAGCTGATTGCGTTCGAAGCATATACAGTGGTGTGAAAAGGTGTTGGCCCCCTTCCTGTTTTTGTAATTTTGCATATTTGTCACACTTAAAAGATTCAGATAATCAAACAGATTTTAATATTACACAAAGATAATGCAAGTAAATGCAAAATGCAGTTTTTAAATGATGATTTCTTTTATTAAGGGAAAAGAGCTGCCTAAACCTGCCTGGCCCTACGTGAAAAAGTAATTGCCCCCTAAATCTAATAACTGGTTGTGCCACGCTTTGCAGCAACAACTGCAATCAAGTGTTTGCGATAACTGGCAATGAGTCTTTCACATCGCTGTGGAGGAATTTTGGCCCACTCTTCTTTGCAGAATTGTTTTAATTCGGCCACATTGGAGGTTTTTCGAGCATGAATGGACAGTTTAAGCATCTCAATCGGATTTAAGTCAGGACTTTGATTTGGCCACTCCAAAACCTTAATTTAGTTTTTCTTGAGCCATTCAGAGGTGGACTTGCTGGTGTGTTTGGGATCATTGTCCTTCTACATAACCCAAGTGCGCTTGAGCTTGAGGTCACAAACTGACGGCCGGACATTCTCCTTCAGGATTTTCTGAAAGAGTGCAGAATTCATGATTCCGTCAATTATGGCAAGTTGTCCAGGTCCTGAAGCTGCAAAGCAGCCCCAGATCACGATTACCGGTTTTACGATAAATCACGATAAAATGCCCTGGCGGTTAGTATTACAGTTTAAAATGTAATTATCATAAAACCGTGTTTGATTATTGCAATTTTGAAAACTCGCGGTAAATCCTGTCCAGCCAACATCAGTCTGACGCAGCATGCAGTGTTGTTGTTGTTGTTTTTTGCACGAGACGAAATGGCGGAAGGCAGTTGACAGGTTTAGAAATCTTATAAATCCATTATGAACAGTGTACAAAACAGTCGTCAGGACAATATGATCACTACAGCAAAATTATAGTAGTATTAATACTAAATTCCTCTGATTTCATTTTCAATACAATCAAAAACTGAGGCGCAAGACGGCAAGCTGCATTTGAATGAAACGAGAGAGTGATTTATTATTATTAGGGCTTCATTTTAATGTTTTTGCTAAAAAAAAGTGCATAGCTGCTAATTGTATTTGTTGTTTGTTGATTTTCAAATATAAAACTACAAAAAAAAAACAGGTAGGGGGCAAAAACATTTTCACACCACTGTACTTTGAGTTTCTCACCATGTGCCACTTTACATTTGCATGGTCATAATATTTATGCAACCTTCTTGTCTCTCCAGCCACCTCATGGGCATGTTCTACAGGACCATCCGAATGCTGGAGGGTGGCATCAAGCCGGTTTATGTGTTTGATGGAAAGCCCCCTCAGCTGAAGTCAGGAGAGGTGCGTCAGAAACAGTCACTAATGGAATATTCTCAATTTGGAATAACCAACGACTTGGACCTGGAAACAGTATTCCTTACTTCACAACTTAAGTGGATATCATTTTACATGTACAGTTAAAAAAACAGGGCAGATATGCCACAGATTCACCTTAAAAATATTGAGGCAGTAGTATTTACAGTATTACAGTATAGCTGTGATTGGTGCTTGTATACTTTGCAACTTATAACCATATGATTAATTTAGTGATGTAGTGTTAATATACCAAGCTCCTTAAACCAGTGAATCTCAACCTTTTGGCGTACCGGACCCCAGTCCAATTCAGAACCATCCTCAAGGACCCCCAGAACAAAATTGACTAATCTATGTATCATTTGTGTCTTTGTGAGGACCAAATACAGTCAAGTATAATTCAAGTTAGCTGACTTGTCCAGTATTTGGCCATAATCATCAGCTTTATTGGACTTTTCTTTCATGGGAACATGTCATGTCAAAATATACAAAATGTATACAAAAATTAATACATTATATGGACCCCCTGGCTTTACGTCAAGGACCACTAGGGGTCCACGGACCCCTGGTTGAGAAAATCTGCCTTTTACCGTAAACTGTACTTATAACCACCATAATAATACAGTTGGTGTAATAGAAAGCCACATGAGGAATCAGTTTGTTGTAAGTGGCCTGTCCATAAAACATGACCTTGTATATCAGAGACAGTGACACTAAAATGAACATTAAACATTAACTAAATGACATAAAATTAAATAAAAATCCTAATGAACATTACAGATAACAAGAAGAAAATTATTATGGGAATGTCCTTTTACTGTTTTTCTCTGTAAATTAAGTTTACATACAAAAACCATACATTTAACAGTATTTGACAGTACAGAGCCATTTAATGCTGTGTAAATGGTGAGGTAACTTGTTTACCTAACAGATGGTCATTTTCTGTGTAAAATTTTTTTTCTGCGTTCTGTTTTAAGATATCTTCTTATTTTAACCCCTACAGCTGGAGAAGAGAGGCGAGAGACGAGCCGAGGCTGAGAAACTTCTAGCTCAGGCTCAAGAAGCAGGTACAGACACGTTCAAAACGACATGCTTTTTTGAAAATAATTATTTAAAATGGGTCCTAATTCCAAGATTTCTCACAGGGGAACAGGAAAACATTGACAAGTTCAGTAAGCGATTAGTGAAGGTTACCAAACAACACAACGAGGAATGCAAGAAGTTACTTACTCTAATGGGTGTCCCATACATTGAGGTACTGCCACAGTCACTGACAGTCAACAACATAAAATAATATGAGTAAAAGCACATGTTATCATGGATATACAGTGGGTACGGAAAGTATTCAGACCCTTAAATTTTTCACTCTGTTATATTGCAGCCATTTGCTAAAATCATTTAAGTTAATTTTTTTTCCTCATTAATGTACACACAGCACCCCATATTGACAGAAAAACACAGAATTGTTGACATTTATGCAGATTTATTAAAAAAGAAAAACTGAAATATCACATGGTCCTAAGTATTCAGACCCTTTGCTCAGTATTTAGTAGAAGCACCCTTTTGATCGAATACAGCCATGAGTCTTTTTGGGAAAGAGGCAACAAGTTTTTCACACCTGGATTTAGGGATCCTCTGCCATTCCTCCTTGCAGAGCCTCTCCAGTTCTGTCAGGTTGGATGTAAAAGTGTATACCTGTCATGTTAAGGCTCCATGTGAGGCGGAGGCGAGCTGTGCTGCTCTGGTGAAATCAGGGAAGGTTTATGCCACAGCAACAGAAGATATGGATGGTCTGACATTTGGAACGACAGTCCTGTTGAGGCATCTAACAGCCAGTGAAGCAAAGTATGTATGGATACGCTTTATATCTGTATTTTGATGATGGAGATGTTTAGCCATGCATTAGTAACTGGTTATTTTTTCTGTCCTAGAAAGCTCCCTATCCAAGAGTTTCATTTCAGTCGTATTCTACAGGAAATGGGTGTGACGCATCAACAGGTGAGACCTTCGCTTTATTTAAAAGGGTCTTATCTGTTTTTATGTAAATATCTGCCTTATTCTAGATGTGTCAGTTCTTTCTAATTGCTGTTTATTTCTGTTTAAACATCTTCCTTAGTTCATTGACCTGTGTATACTACTGGGCTGTGACTACTGTGGCACTATAAAAGGAATTGGACCCAAGAGGGCCATCGACCTCATTAAACAGCACGGCTCTATTGAAGAGATCCTTGAGAATATTGACCCAAATGTAAGTTTGTTTACACTGTTTAAAGGCATTTACTTACTGTTGAATGTCACAATGCAGGACATGACATATTCAAAATGTTGCCCATATTAGTGATGCCTCGTTGCAAATCATATCCAAGATCATACTTGCTGAATTGTGGCCTCTAGTGGCGGTCAGTGGATTGCTTAGTCAGAAAATAAATTTGGCCACAGGGCAAGTGTATTGATTATTTGCTGACCATAAAATGTTCCCCATCATTTATTTTCATTGTATATTTAATTTTGCACTTCATTTTTTACTGTCTCTTGCATAATTGAAATATGTAACAGTATTTATTTATATTTGTAAAAAAGGTGATAATCCTGCCTCAGTTTCTCAATAACTTTACTTTACTTTTAGTCATTTAGCAGACGCTTTTATCCAAAGCGACTTACAAATAAGAAAAAGTAATTAAAACTCAAAGCTAAAACTCTATAAACACTATATATATATATATATATATATATATATATATATATATATACACATTTAAGAAAATAAAAGAAATTAAAGAAAAATGACAAATGTATACAACATTTCAAAACTAAACATTTAAATGAAAACAAAAAATAAAGCTAAAAACAATTCAAAATATTAAAAGAACAAAAGTTATGAGTATAATAATGATCCTAACATAACACTAAGCCAAACACCAAAAAACAACTACGTGTGTGTGTGTGTGTGTGTGTGTATATATATATATATATATTATGTACAGCCACACACATACATGTACATATATATAAATACATTCTATATATATATATTTTTTTTTTCATTTCCATTTTGTATGTTGAAGTACTGAAATGACTCAAATTAAATAAAACTAAAACTTAATAAAAAACCTATATAGACATAATAAAAAAACGAATAAAATGACAGCATTACTACAGCTGTAACAGTTTATTTCCATTTTTTCGAGTGATTTTATGTGCTTTTGTCTATTTTTATTATTTCTTAAATATAAGTTTTAGTTTTTTCCCAGGTTAGTATTTAGTTTATTTCCAGTTTTTCATTTTAGTGCTTCAACATAAATTTATTTGTTAGTTGCCAAGGAAACATTTCTAATTTGAGTTTTTCATCAAATATTAATATTTTATTTTATTTCAGCTTTATTTAATTTAACAATGTATTTAATAGTTTTAGTTAAGAATAATAAACCTGCCCAGTAGAACTCAAACATTGTGAAGACCCAGGAATATCTGGAGGGAGAAAAAAAAACTTTAAATTTAAAATCATTGTAAATTAAACATTGGTAAACCTTTCATTGCAGTAAAAAGTTAGTGATGTGATGAAGTGAAGTGGCCAAGTATGGTGACCCATACTCGGAATTAGTGCTCTGCATTTACCCATCCAAAGTGCGCACACACACAGCAGTGAACACACACAAACCGTGAACACACACCCGGAGCAGTGGGCAGCCATTTATGCTGCGGCGCCCGGGGAGCAGTTGGGGGTTCGGTGCCTTGCTCAAGGGCACCTTGTTGTGGTATTGAAGGGGGAAGAGAGCACTGTACATTCACTACCCCCACCTACAATCCCTGCCGGTACGAGACTCGAACCCACAACCTTTGGGTTATGAGTCCGACTCTCTAACCATTAGGCCACGACTTTAGATGACACACAGCATACTTAATTTTGCATATTGGCATCAATGCTTATCTGAACAAACTTGTGTGCTCAGATTAATATAGCCGTTTCTTTTAAATAGGCTTTAGAATGTGATATTTGTCTTGTTTTGTGCTGCAGAAGCACCCAGCTCCAGAGGACTGGCTGTATAAAGAGGCTCGGGGTCTCTTCTTGGAGCCTGAGGTCATAGATGGCACCACTGTTGATCTGAAGTGGAACGAACCTGACGAGGATGGACTGATTCAGTTCATGTGTGCTGAGAAACAGTTCAGGTAAAAGCAAACAAATCAAACAAAGATTGTTCCTAAAACCTGCCAGACTTAAACCAGAAACCACTAACGTCAGAAAAGCCTGTCTAAAATAAAAGAATATACTTTATAAATGTTACACTTCATTGTTACAGTGCAATTACACAATTATGTACGGAGTAATATTAACAACAGATCCTTACTATGGAGTTAGGTTTTGTTTAGGTTTAGTTGCATGTAATTATGCATAATTTACTATTTATTTATAGGGATGTAACCTAGAGCCGGTTGAAAATCGATTCAAATGTGACGATTCAAATCGTGATTCATTTAGGGGTAGGAGTTTATATGAATGCATGTGTGAGGGGAACTTACTGTCTTTAGAAAAGTTTAGATGGTATTTTTTATAATGCATATTAAAGTTCATAACTGCAGCGCTGCTTTGTTTACAGCGAAAACCAGGAAACGCTTTAAGCGCCACCTGCTGGCAGAGAGTGAATCTGCGTCTCATTCAGCTCGTCTGCTGTTTCTGTTTCATGCAGATATTTTTTATGTATAGTTTCACAAAGCTGAAGTCAAACCATTCTGTTTTTGCTTCAAATTTTGAAATTATACAATGTAATTTAGATTAAAAACTGCTCGTGTTGCATGTATGCAGCATCTTTGTTTGGATCATGATTCAAATGCAGTGGTTTTCTCAAATTTTAAATGGAAAGAGCACAGACAGAGCCTTAGTTTGTTTATATGAAGAGATTCATTTTATTTGTTACTTATTTTATTTGGGGCTTGTTTTAAAATTTCAATGTAGTTTTGTTATTTACATTTACATTATATTTAATTTTTGTTATTTAGCAGACGCTTTTGTCCAAAGTGACTTACAAATGAGGACAATAGAAGCAATCAAAACCAACAAAACAGCAATATGTAAGTGCTATATTAGTATAGTGTTATATTTCAATGTCACAAAGAAATGTGCAGCATTTTGTCCAAGCAATAATAAAAGGACACATTTAATTTATAATTTGTCTTAAATCTCATTTTGTTAAAAAAATCGTGAATCAAATCGTGAAATCAAAATCGTGAGTTGGGTGAATCGTTACATCCCTATTTATTTTTGTTACGTGTGTGTATATAATATAAAAACAGGGACAGACAAATACCTTAAGTGTGAATAAACTGATATTAATTTATTCTTTATGTATTTAAATAACTACAGTTTGTTGCATTAAAAGCAGCTTGTGATGGATGCCATATTAAAATGGATATGAATTGACTTGTACACAACGGTTATGCAGCATGTTTATTTGCGGGCAGGTTATAAATATAAGACAAAAAACAGCACCATTTTTGGGTAAAGCGGGTAGGGAAACCTGTTGTGCTTTGAGGTGTGAGATGGAACAAATAGAAGGGATGTTATCTTGTATTTGTGGTTCTCACCGCAGCAGAATATGTTTTTCAGATGTGTTGAATTTGTGTGTTGTCAGTGAGGATCGTATCCGTAACGGCTGTAAGAAGATCATGAAGAGTAGACAGGGGAGCACCCAGGGCAGATTGGACACATTCTTTACTGTTACCGGATCAATCTCCTCTAAGCGTAAGGTAGGAGGAAGTAATAACCTAACTGTTATAGAATTATATTGGTGTATGTATGTATATGTATGTATATATATATATATATATATATATATATATATATATAGCACCCATGCGAGGTACCTTTTGTAGATTGAAAACTAATGTTTTCATGTTTGTGTTTGTAACTACAGCACCTGGGATGCCTGTCTTTTCTTTCATGGTTTTTCTGTTCTTACCAGTGCAAGTTAATATGGAACCAAGTGAGTCAGTGCTATCTAATTAAAAAGATGACATACAGCTTTAGTATTACACTAAGAACAAAAACAAAAGATTCTAAACGGTCATTGTTTATTATGTTTTCAGGTACTAGTTTTGATGCAATATTGCCTGGCAGAATAAATGCGCTGCGTGGCTCTTGTGTGCAGATACCTTGTACATTTGATGCACCAGAGAACATACTGAAGCACACACAAAATATATTTGGTTTTTGGATAAAGAACCACCATGCTTTTCTCAATCCAGAGAGTTTGGTGGTTTTCAATGGAACTTCAAACATCATAAAAGGATTTAAGTATATAGAAATACTTGGAAATCTTCGTCAGCATGAATGTACCACTGTTTTCTATGATGTCATGAACAATCATACAGACAAATACTACTTCAGGGTGGAAATGAAGTATCCAGTGGCCTGGATGTATACATATAACAATCCCATCTACATTTCTGTCTTAGGTAAGTGGGGTCTCCACTGTAAAAATTGCTTTTTTATGATATCAAAATTATTCAGTGATTATGATTCGTAAGCTTGGATTCATTGACTATTTCTTGGGTTCTTCAATAACTGGTAACCTTTATCACATCTCTCAATGAAATATATTCTCATACTTTAGACTGGAAAATGCCTTGGCCTGGTTTCACAAACGGGCTTAGCTTAAGCCAGGACTGGGCCTCAGTTAAATTAAGATATTTAAGCTTTTAAACTTTTACAAAAATGCCTTATAAGAAAACATTACAGGTGTACATCTTGACACAGAACAATGACACTGACCAATTTTAATGCTGATATTTTCAGTTGAGACGGCTCAAACATGCATTTTAGTCTGGGACTAGCTTAAGCCTTGTCTGTGAAACCGGGGGCTTATGTTTTAAGATGAATCAGGCACTAGTTTTGACACTAAAAGGATCGTCGTTGGGATTTTTCACTTAAACAACAAATCCCCATGACAAAAGACCTGGTGCTTGTACCAAAATGGTGGCTGAACAAACTCGGGGTTACAGGATTTGTTTTGAGTTGACAAAACCAAACCAGTCCAATCCGGCTTTGTTGGTACCATGAGTCATGACACTGAACATCAACTTTCTCTGAGTCAGTGCGATTCACTACCATAGATTAAAAGATTGAAAAATATGAAGAATTTAAACACATTTACAGAGCAAGATGAAACAATCTGTCCATGAAAGAGGACAATTTAAAGAAAATATCTTGCCATATCAGTGCAAGTAAAAATGTAGTTAATTTATATAGTTGATCATATTTATAGGTAGAAAAATACTTAAAAATCTAAGCTCATATGTAGTCATGTTTAAAGCTATTGATTTTAAAACTTATATTGCATATCTTTATATATTTAGATTCATTTAAAATAAAAGCTTATTATTAAACTAAACTGGCTCGTGTAGTGGATTAAGGGTATAATAATTATATAAATCATATAAAATTATTATTATAAATAATCATCAAAGAAAAGCCAGATGATTTTTTCTTTTAAAATGTTTTACTATGTAGTGTCCTTTCATTTGGAGTAAGAGAAACTGGGGAAGTGACTTTGTGTCAAAGGTGTGTCACTTTGCTCGAAGCTGATTGGTCAAATTTCGGTTTGAGCTCTCTAAACCAGAACATAACCTGCCCCAGAGTAGGTTAGCCGTTGAGTGTAAATTACTATGGTGATGAACACAGATTAAAGCTAAACTACTTTCATGGTACCTAAAACCCAGAGTTAACTAAACTAAACTGAAACTTACCTGGCTAGCCAGCTAAACCGGCTTCACGGTACAGGCCACCTCTGTAGCATTAAAAAAAATACACAACACAATACAATAAAATGGCAAAGGAGAATTTTACTGTAATTTTCTGAAATTATTGACAGGAAGTATATTTTTTACAAAAAGATGTGCAAAGTTGGCCCACAGTCCGCTACAATTACAATGAAGATTAGTTTGTGAAATGTACCTGTAGTGACACTGTAGCTCCAAAATAATGCACCATACTGTGCTAGATTAAAATAATACAATAAAGCGATTGTATTAAAATGCTTTCATACAACAGTTTAATAATGTAGAAGTTAATATTGAGTAACTTCTTAATGACAGTATTTACCTGTTACTTTGCCTATTTTCACTCCAACAGAAAAAATAATTTCAAATGGAGCCACTGAAGAATCAACCATTACATGTCTCCAAGGAATTTTTTGTTGTTGTTTTGTTTTGTCCACTTTTTGTCACCTACTGGTGTGATTATGTAACATGCAGAACAATTAGATTTAATTTATTAATAGAGTTTTATACAGTGTACTCTTTTCCCTGTAGATGTACCGGAACTTCCTATCCTTACACCCACTGATCTGCAAGAAGTGATGGAGGAAACTACAGTAAATCTAAGCTGCTCTGCTGAAGCCCCCTGCCCCGCACAACCTCCTAAAATATCCTGGTCTAACATCCCTGAATCTGCTCGCATTACAACACAGTTACAGGAGAAACCTGATAAAACCCAGTCAGTGTTTTCATACATGACCTTCAAATCTTCATACAAAGATCACAGGAAGAACATTTCCTGCACTGCTACATATCCAAGAAATACGCCTAATGACTCGACTGCAGAGACCACCGTGATGCTACGAGTCCTGTGTAAGAGATTTGGAGTCATTTTGCTCTTTCATAAGCTTTATGTTCAGATGTGTAATATGATGTCCAGTTTACCTACAGATGTTTCTATTTTGCTTTAAAGTTTCTCCAAAAGAAACTCACATCATCATCGATCCATTTGATTCAATCTCTGTTGGCACTAATGTGACTTTGACCTGCAAAAGCAAAGCCAGTCCAAATGAAATGAACTACACTTGGTACAAACGTGGACAGGAGAAAGAGCTGGATTTTGGAGAACAACTAACCTTTAATGTAAATAGGAGGAGTGGGGGCTGGTACTTTTGCACAGCAAAGAACATACATGGTAATCAGATGTCAGAAGAGTTCCAGCTGATTGTGGCAGGTGAGATTAATACAGACATGTGCCATTATATGTACAGACACTAAAAGTAATGATCATCATGGGTAGCTCCAGTTTTATGACTGAACTATATTTTTACATTATGTGCACAGCCTACTGAACCAACTAATTGTACTCAATGTTTCAATCTGGTTCTGCTTCCTTAGAACCATTGGCTTTAATCATTGGCTGTGTCGGAGGAATTTCAGCATTTCTGTTTATATTTCTTCTGGTAACGATTTTCTTAAGGTAAGCACAGTTAGATGGTGCTTTTGATCCTTTTTTGAAACTCCATTGTCCAAATCATTGTAATTGCATGGAAAAGAGCAAACAGCCTTCAGTATTTGTATTGTATTATGTATTTGAAACATACATAAAACATGGTGTTTACAATATGGTGATCCGTTTTGTATTATATGGATTTCTGCATTTCCTTTTAATACAGAGTGCAAAGAGTAAAGGCATCCATTATTAGGGAAACTGACTTCTCAGAACAGGTATGTTCTAGACTCTTCTAGCAGATCACGTTTTTGCGGTTTCAAATAGGAAGTGCTATAATAAGCAGCTAACAATACTCTACCAAGCATTTTACTGTAATGGTTTATGATGTACAGAAACCAAAAACAGTGGATCCACAGAAACGCCATGTATTATTTTTCACTTTCAGGGTCAGGAAAAACATGTGCAGGTCAACTCTATTTATGCTAATAGAGATTTTGTGATGGGTGAAGAGCTAGAGATGCCAAAGGATGAGAATGACATGATCCACTATGGAGAGATTGACTTCTCCACTCCCCAAACCAAAAGCACCACAGAGAAGATCTCCGGACAAGAAACAATATATGCCGAGGTCTGTTGTTCAGGGAAGGATTAGTTTACATTATAAACGGTGAATTGGCTTACACTTTACATAAAGGTTCACTTTATATAGGGTTTATAAAGGTGTTTATAAATGACTAATAAGTCATTTACAAATGCATTATAAATCATTGATAAGCAGTTATTAATGCATAAAAAAACAGTGATTTTAATGCAATACCTGCCAAACAATGAACCATTTTTAACTCACATGTTATAAATGCTTAATAAATATATTTATTCATACTATTTTCACTCAAACCCAGATTCCTGATTTCATGATGCAGTGAGACACTGAAGTGTGTTGTATTTATGTTTTTCTAATTTAAAGCTCATGACTTGTCACTTTTCTTACCGGAAGCTACCCTCGTATCTTAGCCATGATATGCAGCAAAAGTTCATGATGTCTGTACACAGTAATGATTAAAAACTGATAGGGGACATAAATGTACAACCATGACTTCATGAGATATTAATAATGAAAATTTGAATTCCAATATTAGTTACTTGTTAACCTTAATGAAAAGTGAACACCTGTGGACCATTTATTAATGAGTTATGTTAATAATGTCTAAAAGTGCACCTTAATGTAAAGTGAACACGTGCGAACCATTTATTAATGAGGAATAAACGTTAGTAACATGTGAAAGTGAACCTTAATGTAAAGTGAACACCTGTGAACCATTTATTAATGAGTTTTATTACACGCCTCTGTGGAATACTTGATTCTGATTGTTCAGTTGCGAAATTCTGAGGTATGTTATCCCTCGATAACAACCGGTAAAAGCTGATAACACAGGCTCATCCGAGTAACTGAAGTTGGCGCTATACTCTTGCTAGGAACAGTTTTTTTTTCGTGGAAGCTTTGCGTTTGGTTAGGTAATAAAATATTCAAATTCAATATTGTGTACAATTATTTTATTGTTATCCTGGTATCATGGACTCGCTCTCTTGTTGCGACGATTGTTTTGTACACTGTAATGGATTATAAGATAACTAACAAACTGGTAAGATTTTAGTATATTTTTACAATATTTGTTTATCGCCATAATTGTTTATGTGGTGAAATGTTGTGTAATAAGTGCTATGACTGCCCCGTTTCCCTTAAATGTCCATCTAGTTTGAACTTGCCGTTTGCTCGCAACTGCTTTCTTCATGAAAACTTTGCGTTCAAATATTTCAACTCAAATCAATATTTTGTGTCTTAATTATTTACTTATGCTGCAAGTAGCCATGTAATAAGCGGGATAATGTACATCCAGCCGATTGTTATCGGAGAATAACCCCCTTCAGGGTGATGCAAGATGCTCATCACCCTGTCGGTTATTCTGCAATAACAACTGGCTGGATGTACATTATCCCTTACATAAACGTTAATAATGTCTAAAAGTGAATCTTAATGTAAACTGAACACCTGTGAACCATTTTTTAATGAGTTACAAATGTTAGTAACCTGTCAAAATTGTATTGTTGTTGCACTATATCAATAAACACTTTTAAACTTAAAACAAAAATATTAATATTTTCTTTTACAGCACATTGGCACATTACTGAGCATAATTTCACATTAAAAGTGGCTTATGCAAGTAAACTCAATTAAGAAAAACAATCAAGTATCCCACCAAAATATGGGCCATTCTACAGAATTGGTCCAAAGACAGAGTTGGAAACGTTGGGAAAAAATTGTCTTTTTCCAAAAAATGTATATGTATGCAAATTGTATAATATCCAAGGTACACATTTCTAGTAATTGCACAGTTAATTCTCATATTGTATTTTCAGAAAGTTTTGGAATATTTGTCCTCTCCACAAATTTGTCACAAAAACAGTAATAATAATTTAATTAGAAGGGTTATATTGAGCTAAATCAGACCTAAATCAATAACTATTACATTTTTAAAAATATTTCAAGTGTAATTTATGAGATTTGTTGTATTTTGAATCCAATTTTGGTCCCACTTTATATTAAGTGGCCTTAACTACTATGTGCTTACATTTAAATTAATAATTTGGTACAATGCACTTATTGTGTACATACATGTTTTTACATTGTACTTATAATTAAAAAAAGCCTGCATGTAATTAATTTCTGTAATTACATTTATAATTACACTGCTGACCCATCCCTTACACCTTAACCCACCCTTAAACCTACCCAAACCACCCAACCTGTCCCTAACCATACCCATATCCCACCTCAATAGCAGCAAAAGTGTTTTGCAATACAAAATGAACAGAATAAGTACATTGTACTTATTATTTGATGTAGGTACATAGTAGTTAAGGCCACTTAATATAAAGTGGGACCACCAATTTTTCTTTGTAAAAGGCAAAAAGTTGATCATACTGATTTTAAAATTAAGGATTCATTAGTTTGAATATACATTGAACCAAAAACTAAGATCATAATATCTTAGTTAATAATTCAGTATACTTTATTTTTGACAAAATATCCCATGTTTCGGTAGTGAGTGCACATTTTTGCTGACAGTATCACATTACAGAATTTGAATTTGCATACTAAAACACTGCAAAAAAAAAAAAAACCTGCATAACTGTACTAAAATTTTGTTTAATTCCCCCAAATATGAGGATTATGTGTTCCCTTTTGTCACTACCGAAACAATGATGACATGTTTCGGTTGTGACTGTTCCGGTAGTGACAATTTTATGGGATAACACCCCAAAAAACACAAAGATGTCACTACCGAAACTCCACCAAATATTTCGGTAGTGACTGTTTCGGTAGTGACAATTTTAGATACTTTTGAACCTATCTCAAAGATGCTAATCAGCATCTTTGTACAGTTAAAATTATATGATATGGAAAAACTCCCAAAAAAGTGTGCTTAATTGCAGAAAAAAGGTGTTCGAGTTACACACAGATTTTTCTGACTTTTGAACACATTTACCTCAAAATGATGGGCCTATCTACTCACCCTGTAGCTACGAGAGAGAGTGACACATAAATATTTCTGATCATAAATGTAGGGGTGTAGTTCATTTCAGTCTCAGCCAATGGACTAAAACATACACTGTTTCGGTAGTGACATGAAAATGTGGGACACATTTTTTTTACATGAAGTTTTATCATTTACAAAGAAAATATAAAATAAATATTTTTGAACTTCACTTTTGAAAAGAATCAAAAATATATTTTTAAAAACAAAAATGGAGAAAAAAATAATAATTTCAATATACAGTGGGTACGGAAAGTATTATTTCAAGTGTAATTTATGAGATTTGTTGTATTTTGAATCCAATTTTGGTCCCACTTTATATTAAGTGGCCTTAACTACTATGTGCTTACATTTAAATTAATAATTTGGTACAATGCACTTATTGTGTACATACATGTTTTTACATTGTACTTATAATTAAAAAAAGCCTGCATGTAATTAATTTCTGTAATTACATTTATAATTACACTGCTGACCCATCCCTTACACCTTAACCCACCCTTAAACCTACCCAAACCACCCAACCTGTCCCTAACCATACCCATATCCCACCTCAATAGCAGCAAAAGTGTTTTGCAATACAAAATGAACAGAATAAGTACATTGTACTTATTATTTGATGTAGGTACATAGTAGTTAAGGCCACTTAATATAAAGTGGGACCACCAATTTTTCTTTGTAAAAGGCAAAAAGTTGATCATACTGATTTTAAAATTAAGGATTCATTAGTTTGAATATACATTGAACCAAAAACTAAGATCATAATATCTTAGTTAATAATTCAGTATACTTTATTTTTGACAAAATATCCCATGTTTCGGTAGTGAGTGCACATTTTTGCTGACAGTATCACATTACAGAATTTGAATTTGCATACTAAAACACTGCAAAAAAAAAAAAAACCTGCATAACTGTACTAAAATTTTGTTTAATTCCCCCAAATATGAGGATTATGTGTTCCCTTTTGTCACTACCGAAACAATGATGACATGTTTCGGTTGTGACTGTTCCGGTAGTGACAATTTTATGGGATAACACCCCAAAAAACACAAAGATGTCACTACCGAAACTCCACCAAATATTTCGGTAGTGACTGTTTCGGTAGTGACAATTTTAGATACTTTTGAACCTATCTCAAAGATGCTAATCAGCATCTTTGTACAGTTAAAATTATATGATATGGAAAAACTCCCAAAAAAGTGTGCTTAATTGCAGAAAAAAGGTGTTCGAGTTACACACAGATTTTTCTGACTTTTGAACACATTTACCTCAAAATGATGGGCCTATCTACTCACCCTGTAGCTACGAGAGAGAGTGACACATAAATATTTCTGATCATAAATGTAGGGGTGTAGTTCATTTCAGTCTCAGCCAATGGACTAAAACATACACTGTTTCGGTAGTGACATGAAAATGTGGGACACATTTTTTTTACATGAAGTTTTATCATTTACAAAGAAAATATAAAATAAATATTTTTGAACTTCACTTTTGAAAAGAATCAAAAATATATTTTTAAAAACAAAAATGGAGAAAAAAATAATAATTTCAATATACAGTGGGTACGGAAAGTATTCAGACCCCCTTAAATTTTTCACTCTTTGTTATATTGCAGCCATTTGCTAAAATCATTTAAGTTAATTTTATGTCAACAATTCTGTGTTTTTCTGTCAATATGGGGTGCTGTGTGTACATTGAGGAAAAAAAATTAACTTAAATGATTTTAGCAAATGGCTGCAATATAACAAAGAGTGAAAAATTTAAGGGGGTCTGAATACTTTCCGGACCCACTGTAATTTTCATAAGTTGAAATTTAGGGGTTAGGGTATGGAACAGCCACCTCCCCATTGAAAGTACCCAAAAAATGATGATTTTATATATATTTAGCTTATTAATATTTTAAATATTATTGTGGGTTTCAACAGAGAATAGAAGGATCATAGTAAACATCTAAGATTTAAATACTTAAATGCTTTTTAAAATGTGTTTTTTGGTTGTGGGACAGCAGTTTGCACCAATTCTGTAGAATGGCCCATACACACTCATACACACACAC